GCTGGCATTAGGATCTGAGGCACTGCTCACTGCATTGCTCTGCACTTGAGATTTGTGGGAGCCTCAGAGTAGCTGAGTGCAACAACCAGGCATGGCACCATACATCTGTAATTCCAGTTAATTGGGAGGCTCAGGTAGGAGATACCTGGATGAGCTGGGGACAGAGGTGGGGAGCTGCCCCATGGCCAGGTTCAAGGTCAGGCTCAGTAACATAGCAGGACCTTTTTTCTTTCACTTTTTTTTTTTTTTAATTCACAAATAACTTTTTTTTTTCACATTTACAAATCAACGGGTCAGTGAATCCAGAGAAACTGCTATATCACTATGTGGTGTATACTGTGTAGTTCAAAAGTTTACTCCAACCCATTTCTTCTTTTATATTCTAATACATCTTCATTATGTTGTTTGATGAGGTAGAGCCACAGGAACGCTGAGGTGCCCAAGGTCAGCCCAACTTTCAGCCCTTTGGGGTTCTGGTTCAGCGGGTCTTGCACGTAGAACTTTGACCACGCTGGCGAGCACTCGGGAGCCTAGCGGGGGGTCCCAGCCACAAGAGGGAGCGAGGGCGCCATCTTGCCAGGCCTCTTTCTCTTTTTTTTAGAATTATTTAACTTTATTATTATTTTCCAGTTTGATCAGAGAGAGAGAGAAAGTGAGAAAGCAAGCCACCAGGTCTGGGACTTGAACTGTGGTCAGCCACGTAGGAGTCCAGCGCCTTTAACCACCATAAAACCTGATGGCCCTGCAGGACCCTGTTTGTTTTTCTTTCTTTTTTTAGGATTACTTAATGTTATTTAATTTGATCAGAGAGATTCAGGGGAAAGTGAGAAAGCAGATGCTAGGTCCAAGACTTGAATTGTGGTCAGCCATGTGGGAGTCTAGCACCTTTAATCACTACACCCCCTGCCGGCCCCAGCCTTGTTTCTTTAAAAAAAAAGAAAGAAAGAAAGAAAGAGAGAGAGAAAGGAAAAAAAAAAGAAAAGAGAAAAGAGAAAAGGAAAGGGGTGAGGGGAGAACGAGAGAATGTTGGGTGCTAGTTTGGACTTAGACCAGGAGCGTCCATTTGGTCTCATTCCTAGCAGTGGGATGGGTGCAGGCGACAGGATGTGCTCTCCTTGCTGAGCTTCAGCTCCCTCTGGGCTCTGTGCCAGACTGGGCCCCTACCCCAGGCGGCTAGTTAATGGTTGGAGACTGTGGAGGAATGAGGAGGCAGCACTGCTGGCCCCACGCCAGTAACTACACCTGCTGATCAGGCCTCCTGGACTCAAGGACACACTTCCTGCCTGTCTGCCTTCTCATCTTCCTTTATCACTTTATTTTCTTGCTCATGAGACCTCCCACAAAAGCCACTGGAGGAACAAAATAGAGAAAGTAGGATATTTATCCCTGTCCCTCACCCGGGAAGAGGTTTGGAAACTGGGGCTTTTCCACTAGTGAGCAGGGGGTGGTCCCAAATAGATCTCAGAGCAGGCTCCCCCATCCTGCCCCCTGGATCTAGTGGGGAGTGACGGCATGAGAACTGGCACCTGCCCAGGGGCATGATGTCACATCTGCGCCAGCATCTGCTCCCTGGGCTCCAAGCCCAGCCTGGCATTGGGGCACTGCTGCGAGGCAGCCCCTTGCCCTGCCCCGGGCTCTGGGCATTGTGTGTCTGCAGGCCTCCAGCCCCTCTCCTTGGGAACAAGTCATAGGAGAGAGGAGCCAGACTGACCAGCCCTATCTCCCTGGGGCTGAGGTGGGTTGGGGTTGTTTGGACTCTGAGTTGGTGAAGGTGGAATAAGGAATCTCAGCATCTGAGCCTCTCCTACTCAAATGAGCCCTTGGACAAGAAACACGGCCTTGCTTTATGCTTGGAGCAAAGCCTTAGACCACCTTGAGTTGCTGTAGGCCCAGGGCCCTGCCCCTCTGAGGGCAGAAGAGGAACCTCTGAGCACTGCTCTGTCTGAAACCAACAGAACTGGCAGGGGCTACAGAGCTACACAGCACCTACGCACTCCTGCGGCTACCGGCACATGACCCCTCAGGCTGGATGGGCACAGTGTGGGGGCCTAGAAGCCATCTTTCTCAAAGGGTGGAAGCTCCCAGGACTTGGGGACTAGCAGTTGGGCACTTGGGTTTTTGTTTTAGCTCTGTCTTTAGCCTGCTGCGTGACCATTGGCAGGTCATGTTGGCAGTGTAAAAAGACTCCTCTGTTTCCTTCCCAGGAGACGTGCTGCCTGGAACAGAGGGAATGGAATTCTGGGGAGTGAAGGCAGGCAGGAAGTACATTAGTCCGAGTGTCTTTAAACCCGGCCCCTGGGGCCTTGCTTGGACAGGAACCCTGCAGAGGAGCAGCCAGAGGAGCTTCTTGGCGCTCACTGGACTCGGACCGAGTCTCAGCCTGTGCTGGGCCTTGTTCTTCCTTTAGTGAAGGCCTCAGTTTGGTCCCAATGCCACTTCTTACCAGCATGCCTCATCTCTCAGAGACTCCTTCCTTATTGAATGGAGGCGTGACCACCTCCCTGTCCCCCACCCCCATGTCCCCAGACTTCTGTGAGGGTGAAATGTGGGAGCCCTTTGTAAGCTGTCCTTATCTTACCAAAGTGGGCTGTCAGACTGGTGCTCGCTGCACTTAGGTGACTGCCTTTTCCGCCCCATCACCTGGCCTTCCTTTAGGCTAGGCTTTGAGTTTGTCCTGCCCTTTCCCGGAGCAGTCCTGTCGTTTGGAGCAGTATGTTTGACTATCCTTTTTTAATATTCAGAGCACCCGGCAGGGGGGGCTAGGTTAGGCAGACAGAGCAGAGGGGTTTGGGGTTCTGTCCTTGCCCTCTGGAAGGTCACCACTTTGAAGGTTTCAGGGAGAGGTAAGGACAGGGCTGCCTTGCTGAATGTGCTGGGGACAGAGGTGGGTAACTGCCCTATGGCCAGTGCCCAGGTCACCTTCGGGGGCCCAGCTTCAGCCCCAGTCCCAGCCCCCAGCTTTCTCAGCTCCTCTGACGAGACTGCACAGGGCAGGGCTATGCAGAGGACGTGGAGGAAGAGCAGGGTGAATGCACAGCCAGCATGGACGTCAGAGCCAGCTCCGGGCCAAGGAATGGCTGAAAGATCTGTTTGCCCAGTGCTGATTGAGGGCATGGGGACAGTGGTGACTATGGGGCTGGAGGGGGTTCTCATTACTCAGTGAGGTAGACAGACGAGCTGGAGATCAGATGGTCACGTTCAAGTGGCCTTGTGAATGCGTGTTTATTAGAAACCATTACGCCATCCTAACCAATGGCGTCTCTGTAAATAGTGATGATTTCTGTCCTGGTTCCTGGCTGTGAGTGTCTGACTAGGGCTGCTTGGAGTCGGGTATCTGCAAGTGAGGGAGGGGAGGCAGGTGTAGAGTCCCAGGGGGAAATGGCTACGAAACCTATTGCCAGTTATATGGTAGTGAACGGGGACGTCTAGGTTTGACTGAAAGGTGGCCAGGGCTCTTCCTCGGGGGGACCCAGTTTAACCAGTCATTTTCCTGTCTGTGACTATGTGGGCATTCATGTTTTAGAAAAATAATTTTTCTTGCTGTTTTTCCACAAATAGAAACCCCAAGACCAAGGTGAAGGACAGAGTCTGGCGTTTTGCTAGGGGGAAAGAAACTGGGTTCCTTACCATTCCGTACATGATTTGCGCGTAGTGTGGAGTCCTGGAAAGAACAGGAATCAGCCACCTGGTTCTTTTTTTTTTTTTTGAGAGGTTTTTGCTATAGGGTATGTGCACTTGCCAGAAAGACAGAGAGACAGAAAGCAAGAAATCACCCCGTAGGGGGGATGGCCACGCCAAAATCTTTTCTCCTCTATTCTCCTCTCGCAATCTTGGGCATGCATGCACACACGCTCGGAGTGAGTTTAAGTCACCGGGTCTGGGACTCGAACTGCTGTCGACTACATGGGAGTCCAGTGACACAGCCATTACGCTAACTGCTGGTCCCCTGGTTCTATTATTATTATTATTTTATTTGATAGGTCAGGGCACATGCACTTGTTGAAGAGAGGGTGGGGGGAGAGAGAGAGAGAGAATTCCTTGGGGAGATGGCCACATTATAGTCCCTTCTCCTTCACTTTCCTCTTGGGATTTCAGGCATGCACACACACGTGGCCTGGTATGTTTTTCAGGTTGCTGGGTCAAACTATGTAGTCAGCCATGTGGGATCCAGTTGCCTTAACCTCCACCACCTAATGTCCCATCTTTTTCTTTTTACAATGTATATGAGAAAGAGAGTGCTGAAAGGAGAGGTGAAGAGAGAGAGAGAGGGATTGGTAAGAAAAATGAGAAAGCACCATATTAGGGTCTCACTGTGCCCCATTTAGCTAGGACCACAGTATGTGCCACCACACCAACTTATTGAGGTCGGGCCGGGGTACTGACCACCTGGGCCTTCCTCGTGGCTTTGGCCACTGCATGGCAGGACATTCTCACTTGTGCTTCTAAGGCTGGGCCTCTGACTGCAGTTTCTGACTTTGATTTTCTTTAACTGCTTAACGCAGAGTTCTTGAGCCCTGGCCTGCTCATTCAAGTTTCTTTTTTTTTTTTGGAGAGGTTTTTGCTATAGGGCACGTGCGCTCGCCAGACAGACAGAGAGAGACATAGAGACAGAAAGTGAGAAATCACCCCCCAGGGGGGATGGTCATGCCGCAATCCCTTCTCCTCCATCCTTCTCTCGGGATCTTGGGCACGCACACACATGCGCCCGGCGTGAGTTTTAAGCCACCGGGTCCGGGACGCGAACCGCGGTCGACTACGTGGGAGTCCAGCAACATAGCCATTATGCTAACTGCTGGTTCCCCTCATTCAAGTTTCTGATGGGACACACGTGAGCGGGTACCATCCTTGAGGCAGTAGGGGGGAACTGGTCACTTGTCCCTGGAATGAAGCACTGGGGCTCAGAGTACCAGAGCCTCGTTCAGTTAGCAGACTTGCCTCCCTGCTTGGAATGGCAGCACATTGTGGAAGATGTCCTGACAACACCTGTGTACCCTGCACAGGGTCCCTGATGGGCCTGGGTGACATTATCTCACAGCAGCTGGTGGAGAGGCGGGGTCTGCAGGAACACCAGACAGGCCGGACTCTGACCATGATGACCCTGGGCTGTGGCTTTGTGGTAAGTTCTGCCCACGGCAGGGTGGCAGTGGATTGACAGCAACCAAACCCTCCTTTGGTTTCCCTTTGTCTCATCAGGCCCAAGTCAGCCTGCAGCCTCTTTTTATGCTTCCCTTTGTCTTCATGTCTGCTTGCCTGGGATTTGGGTTCTGGTCCTGGAGGGAGGAGCTGTGTGCTGTTGAGCCTGGAGCTCTTCCCACTGCCTCTTGCTCCCCTATATGGGGTTTCCTTTCAGGGCCCCGTAGTAGGAGGCTGGTACAGGGTCTTGGATCGGCTTATCCCTGGCACCACCAAGGTGGATGCACTCAAGAAGATGTTGTTGGATCAGGTGCGTAGAAGGAAAAGGGGGCTGGAAAGGTGAGCTGTGGGGTGAGTGGGGATTTAGGCTCTCACAGGACATTCATTTCTTTTCCCTAGGGGGGCTTTGCCCCGTGTTTTCTAGGCTGCTTCCTCCCACTGGTAGGGACACTCAATGGACTGTCAGCCCAGGACAACTGGGCCAAACTACAGCGGGTGAGCTGGGCGGGTGCGGGGGAGGCCTGATGGGCTGGCAGTCCTTGGGAAAGTGACGGGCTTCAGGGCAGAGTCCCAGGAGGAGAAGGGTTGAAGTGTACGTGTGATATTCACTCTGGGAGAGGAATGCTTGGAGGAATGGCGGTTAATCTGTTCCTTCTCTTGTTTCCTCAGGATTATCGTGATGCCCTCATCACCAACTACTATGTAAGAGCTGACACTTCAACTGCCTATTCTGCTTCCTTAAGTCCAGAAATGCCCTGGGTTTGGGGGGCCTCCTAATGTAGGAATCCTGCTGGGCACCATCCTCAGGGAAGCACTTACCCAGTTATTCAGTTTTTTCTTATGTGCAGAAGTTGGGGTAGGGCTAGGCAAAGCAGTGAGTCTGGGGGTCAGGGGGTGAACAGCCACCCGACCATCGCCTTCTCTCTTGTAGCTGTGGCCTGCCGTGCAGTTAGCCAACTTCTACCTGATCCCCCTTCATTACAGGTATGACAGACCCTGCCCCTCCCCTTTAAAGAAAAGCCACATTATTTGGGCCAGCCCCATAGCATGGCAGTTAAGCTGTGCATAAAAAGCCAGATCCCACATGGCCAACTACCACAGTTCAAATCCCACCCCCAGTGGCTTGAAAAACCTGCTGGGTGCATGTGAGTGTGTGGCCAGAAACCTGATGGGATGGAAAAACGGGATAAAAGGGGTTGTAGTGTGACCATGCTCCACTAGGGCTGGGTGTTTTCTGTCTGTCTCTATCTCTGGCAAGTGCACATGCACTCTGCAATTAAAAAAAAAAAAAGATGCTGGGGACCAGCAGATGGCATAATGGTTATGTTACTGGACTCCCACACAATCAACTATGGTTTGAGTCCCAGACCCAGAGGCTTAAAACTTATACTGGGCGTGGGACCAGCAGTTAGCGTAATGGCTATGTCACTGAACTCCCACGTAGTCAACTGGTTTGAGTCCCAGACTTGGTGGCTTAAACTCACGCCAGCTGTATGTACGTGCATGCCCAAGATCTGGAGGATGGAGGAGAAGGGATTGCAGCGTGGCCATCCTCCCTGGGAAGTGGTTTCTCACTTTCTATCTCTGTCTCTGTCTTTCTGGCGAGCAGACGCACCCTATAGCAAAAACCTCTGGAAAAAAAAAAAAAAGGCAGCTTATACTGGGCTCATGTGTGTACATGCCCCAGATCCCAAGGGTAGAATAGAGGAGAAGGGATTGCGGTGTGGCCATCCCCCTAGGGTGTGATTTCTCACTTCCTGTCTCTCTGTCTCTGTTTCTCTGACAAGTGCACACTCCCTAAAACAGAAATCTCTCTCTCAAAACAAAAAGGGGACCAGCAAGTGGTGTGGCGGTTAAGGTGCTGGATTCCCACATGGCCAACCACAGTTCAAGTCCTGGACCTGGTGGCTTGCTTTCTGGCTCTCTCTCTCTGTCTAGTGAGCACATGTGCCCTATAGCAAAACTTAGAAATAAATACATAAGTAAAGGTAAAATAAATACTTTTTTTAAAGAATCATTTCTTTAATTCCATTTGTTATTATTATTTTTTGACCAGACAGAGACAGAGAAAGAGAAAGCAAGAATGCAAGCTACCAGATCCAGGGCGTGAACTGCGGTCAGCCATGTGGGAATCTAGAGCCTTTAACCACCACGCTACCTGCTGACCCCATAAATAATTCTTTTCTTTAAAAAACAGGTCCATATTACCAACAATTGGAGACAGAATGATTCTCATTTCAACCTTGAGCTACTTTAGACCTCCAACCTGGATGCTGCCTTGATCAGAGCTTAGAACCTGTTACCCTTTATCCCAGGGTCAGCCACTGACCTCTTTCATCTCCCTAGGCAAGATCCAGCTTTCACAACCTTTGTCTCTGAGTTTTCCACCTTTGATTGCATATCTGAGGGACAGGGCTGGCCTCCAGGTTAGACAGAATGGTAAACCAGAAAGCCAAGTAGGAACCTGGTCTGGTTGGTTCCTTGCAAAATATTGCTTTACTCTAACAATAAAGATAGTTGTTAAGGCTCAGTTAAACAACATAGTAGATCTCAAGATGAGTAGGTCAGATACTCAGGGGCGAGGGCAGCTTGGGAACAGGAAAAAGAGGAAACTCCACCGAGGGGATGTGATCAAAGAATACATGAACAGTATTGTTAAGAGGGATACAGGCTTATGGGCCAAATCCTACACATTGGGGTCCTTCGCAACAGTCTTCGAAATTAGAGCAAGGTTAATTCAAAATAAAGAAAAAGAGAGCCAGCTGGTGGCTTGGTGGTTAAGGGGGCTGGACCCCACATGGCCAATGATGCTGTTCGAGTCCTGGACCCAGAGGCTTGAAAAACATGCCAGGTGTGTGTGTATGCATGTCCAAAATCCAGAAAGGAGGGAGGAATGGAGGAAAAGGGATTGTGACATGACCATCCCTCATGGGAGGTGCTCTATCACCCCACCGACCATCTCCAGCAAGTGCACATGTCCTCTGGCAAATTAGAAAAGAAGGAAAACATGCCACTTTATACAGCAGGCAGTACGATTTTTTGGAGATGAAATCTCCTCCGCTGGTACAAGACAGGCAGATAAATGTATTTAGAAGGAGCCTGTGTAAACTTTGAGATTCTCATCCAGGAGGCAGAGCCCTGGGGCAGCACCAGAGTCTGAGTGGGTTGTCCTCTGTTCTGAGCTGCATAGTCCCTCCTTAAGGGGCTGAAGGAAGGAGACCTAATTCTGGAAATTCTCATAGATCATCCCTCCATTTGCGTCGCTCTTTC